CCCCCCCCCCCCCCCCCCCCCCCCGCGGTGCTTCACCTCCCGCTGCTCTTCCGCTCCTACCGGACGATGGCGTCACGCGTGACGTCACCACCTCGGGGAAAACCCCGGGTTCGTCTCCCCGGTTCGGTAATAACGGAATTCCCCGGGACGCCCCCCGGAAAGCCGCGGTTCCCCCCCGGCGCCGCGCGGTGGCACTCTGCGCTCAGATCTGAGATTCGCTCCGGTATTACCGGCGCCGATGTAAACGCGGTCGCTTCGGAGCGACTCCGCCGCGCCCTCTGCTGGGGTCCGCCCGCACCGTTCTGGGATCTCTCCCGGGGCCGGGACCGAACCCCGGTGCGGCGCAGCGCGGGGGCAGCGCGGGGGGGGAACGGATCTGCCGCCCCGTTCTCTCTCCATGGTTCTGATGGGGGAGGCAGCGGCGCCGGACCCCCCCCCGCTCCCCTCCCGTCCGAGGGGTCCCGCTGCCACCGGGTGGGGAGAAACCGACCGGCAACGGCCGCCCCGCACCGTCGGTGCCCTCTCGAGGTGGGACGCGGCACCGGGGGTGGGACCCCGGGGGGGCGGCTGAGGACACAGAGCGGGCGGGGCTGCCCCGGGGGTGCTCCCAACTCCCGCACGTGGGTACGGCGGGGCCGGGCGGGGCGGCACCGTGAGCGGTGCGGGCGGTGTGCGGGGCCGTGCCCGGTACGCGGAGGGCCGGCGGCGGCGGCTCGCTGGTGCCAAGCCCCTGCCAGAACCTCTTTTGTGCGCCCGCAGCCAATCAAGGCCGCTGACGACACACTTCACTTGGGATATAAAACCCCGGGGCCGCCGCCGACGCTTTTTCCCCCCCCCCCCCCCCCCCGGCCCCTCTCCGCCCGCCCCGCTCCGCGCCCCGCAGCCTCCACCGCCGCTCCCCGCTCCGTTCCCCGCGCGTCGCCGGGGTGGGGGCCGGCGGGGGAAGGCCCCCGGGATGGCCCCGGTGCTGCTGTGGCTGTTGGCTTTGGTGGCGGGGGGCCCGGCGGGAGCTCAACCCCCCCTCCCCGCCGCTTCGGAGCCCGCGTGCCCCGTGTGCGTGTGGCGGAGGCACAGCAAAGAGCTGCGGCTGGAGAGCATCAAGTCGCAGATCCTCAGCAAGCTGCGGCTGAAGGAAGCGCCCAACATCACCCGCGAGGTGGTGAAGCAGCTGCTGCCCAAAGCGCCGCCGCTGCAGCAGATCCTCGACCTGCACGACTTCCAGGGGGACTCGCTGCAGCACGACGAGTACCTGGAGGAGGACGAGTACCACGCCACCACCGAGACCGTCATCAGCATGGCCCAGGAAAGTCAGTGCCGCCTTTGTTCCGGACGCAAAGTTCGCCCTCTCCCTCCCCCGAGCCCTTCCCGGTCCCCGGGTCCGGTGGCCGCGGTCGCAACTTTCCCTTCTCGGGACTCCCCCGGGCTCCTCGCCTTCGCTCGGTTCCTCCCGGTGCTCCCCCCTCTTCCCCCCCCGCCCTCGACCGTTCCTCCGCGTTTCCCTTCGGTCCCCGCACTCCCGGTCCCCCGCGGTCGCGCACGGTGCCTCGCGGGGCAGCTCTAAACGGAGCTTCGGGTATCGACCCACGGCCCCCGGCCCACCGGGACCGGCACCGGGACTGGGACCAGGCAGCTTTGCGCAAAGCCCGGAGGGGACGCGGTGCTCTGCACCGTGGGGAGATCTGAGGACGGGGGATGTGGGGACTTGGAGACATCATAGGGACGTGGGGACCCGGAAACATCGGGATCCAGGGATACAGGGACACGGGGATACAGGTATATGGGAATGGGACAGTGCAGCCTGCGGCTGGTTCAAGGCACCAGCACCGGGATCAGGGTTTGGGAACAGCCGTAGAGCACTGGGACTCTGCACTGAGTGCTGGTGCTGAGAGTGAGTTCTGGGTGCTGGGAACAGACGCTGGATTCTGTGAGCTGTTCTGGACTGGGCACAGGGAACGGCTGTAGGGCGCTGGGAGCGGGCGCTGTGTGCTGGGAGCCAGCAGTGACACCAGTGTGTTGTGAGATTGGGCACTGGGTGCCAGCAGCAGGTCCCAGGACCCAACGCTGAGACCAGCACTTGGTACTGGGAGCCAGAACTGGGACCCAGCAGTGGCTACTGGGAGCTGTCACAGGGCTCTGGGAACGGGCACTGGGTTCTGGGACCTGGCTGTGTTGTGGGACTGGGCACTGAGTGCTGGCAGCACGTCCTAGGACCCAGCAGTGGCATCAGCACTGGGTACTGGGACAATAATGGGACATGGGATGTGGCACTGGGACCCAATACTTGGTACTGGGCTATGGCGCCAGGCACCAGTGCATAGTGCTGAGACCAGTGCTGGTGCAGGGACTGTCCTCAGGGCACTGGGGACAGGATGATGTGGTCCCTCCCCGGGGACACCCCCAGTGCCTGCTGTCCCCATTGCCAGCAGTGACACGGTGACATCCCACCCCGCAGGTCCTGCAGGGCTCTGGGTGCCAGCAGCATCCTTCTTGCCTCAGTATGTGACAGCAGGGTGACGGCAGGGCGTGCTGATGGCACTGAGGGGTCCCAAGGTGCCCTGGGGACAGGACGGGGTGCGGGGGGGGGCTCTGCTTTGCCATGACATTGCTCCATCCGTCCGTATGTCCCCGTGTCCGTGCGTCCACCCACAGGGCTGCGGGTCGAATGGGACGCATTGAGAGGGGCTCTCGTCCTCTTTCCACCTGCTGATACCACCTGGGACCCCCAGACTCCCCCTCCCCATCCCTGGGTTGGGGTGTGAAGGCCGAGCGGAAGGGCTGGAAGTGTGAGGCGCTCCCCCTCCTTCCCTCCCCCTCCCTGACGAATTTCCTTCCCGGGCATTAATAGACTTCGGGCGGCTTTGAAATTTTATTACCCATAA